TGATTTGTGCTAACATTAAATGCTACTTGATTTTTTATTAAAAAAATTAAAAAAACATACCAAAAATGGAATGCAATTAATATTCCCTATTTTTTTGGTTACTATATTTGAAAAATGTTAATTCTTATTATATATATATAAATAGATTCTTGTACGTTTGAACTTTTGATTATTTATTATATTAATTATGAGCATCACTGCATCACCCATTCACATGATTTTTTTGTTGAATTGTAATTATCATGTCTCCGAATACATGGAGTTTGGAAACTATAGTCCCCTCCCGCTACATCACCTTCACCTCCGACGACCAGCTCCTCCGCGTGGCCGTCCTCGATTCTCCCTATTCCTCCTCCTCCTCCGCTACAGCCGCCATATGGGTCCCACCTGGCCGCGAGTCCGACTGGGTGTTCTCCACTTTCTCCGGCCACCTCCAGCTCCTCCTCTCCTCCTCCACCGCCGAGCCGCTCTCCCGCCTGATCCTCGTCGGTAAATCCCCATCGTCCCCTCACCCTTCCTCCTACATCCCCTCCCCCTATTCAACCCTCCTTCACCCCACCAATGTCGCCCCTCTCTTGTCAACCCTAATCCCCAAATCAGCTTTCCCCAATATCGACAGCGAAATCCCGTTCTTAATCTACGAAGACGAGGTGGTCAGAGATTCGGTTCTGGAGATCCGACAAGGGCCTCGCGTCGGTGAAATGTTGGTGGAAAACGTAGAGTTGGAGAATGGCGAGTTCAGGAGGAGGCTCAGGTTCAAGAGAATGCCCAATTTGGTGCAGACCCAGATGAAGATCCGCCCCAAAAATGGATCCTTATCTGAGGATATCGACAAAATGGAGTTTGAATTGGATAAAGGAGCACTGGTCCAACCCTATCTAATTCCGATGGTGGCTTCCATCTCTGTTATTAGTCGGTTCTTGGAAGATCACATATATCGAGATGGGTTCAGACCAAGGGCTTTGTGTGTGGGAGTTGGTGGAGGGGCTCTACTTGGGTTCTTGAGCTCCCAATTGAACTTCGATGTGGTGGGGGTCGAGGAAGATGAGGTCGTTTTGGGAATTGCGAAAAGATATTTTGGGCTCGGAGATGATGAGTCGATGATTCGTTTGTATGCCGAAGATGGGATTGAATACGTTAAAAAGCTCGTGGGAAATCCTAGTAGTAGGTTTCATGTCATCATGGTTGATTTGGATTCGAGTGATATGAGCACCGGCATTTTTGCACCACCGGTCGAGTTTGTTACAAAGTCTGTTCTTTTGAGCTTAAGGGATGTGCTGTGCAAGGAGGGGGTTGTTGTGGTTAATACGATGCCGACTAGTGAATTGGAGTACAAGAGATTGATTAGTAAGTTTGGTGAGGTTTTTGAATGTTTGTTCGAGATTGATGTTGGCAATGGGGAGAACTTTGTGCTGATTGCAACGAGATTGGGGGTCGAGGATTTTGGTTCGGGAGCTGGTGAGGGTATCTTTTTTAATAAGTTGAGGTCGGTTGTTTCGGGATCTTACTTGGACTCCATTAGGAAAATTCAAAAGACTGTTGATTTTTAGTTTTCGCGAGTATGTGTTGTGTAGCTATCAGGTTTTAATCCTGGAACTTCTGAGGGTTCTACCAGAAATTTGACAGCAAACTATTTAGGAAAAAGCTCATCTGGTTAAATTGGAACGAGCAAGATGATCCCATGTGTTTTTTTTGGATTTAATTGATTCGTCACCTTTAGTTTTATGGATCTTGGTAACAGAATTGGAAAATTTTCTGCGTACTAAGGTGAAAAACCTTTGCTCTTTATCATTGACAGGTGTGAGATCTCTAGTTAAGTTGGATTAGTAGTGGATTGGTGTCAAGTCATCTTGTTCAGATTTTGATAAGTTTCTGGGGCATCTAATAGCATCTTGGCGACAAAATTTGACTCATAACAAGCTTTTCCTTTAAGTGATACACAAGACATTTTTATCTTGAGAAGGTTTTTGTCCCAGGTGTGGATGGAAATCGAGTTTATATGTTTTCTTTGATTGTAGCTGAGATTATATGTTCGCGTGGCCTTTTTCTCATCAGTTATGATTGAAATGGGATGTTGATATCGTAGCCCGGAATGGTTTGTAAATGGGTACATAATGTTGATTGGTGTGCTTGGACTGTATGTATAGGAAGACGCGTGCAAAAGAAAAACTTCATCTTCTTTATTTTTGGATGATCAGATTATCCGATTTTCAATTAGGATATGTCATTTGAATACTTGCAATTGCAATACTAGTTGTCTAATGAGTCTGGTTGTATGAATATATAATGGTGGGATTTTGATTAGTAGCCAACGAGAAAAAAAAAAAGAAGAAGATATTTATCAATTTGTTTGACTACTAGTTAGTTAGAATTCAACTGTTAGATTTTCATAAGATATAAGACAAATCTTGCATAAGATATAAGACAGTAGAAACATTGTCTTATAAGATTTTTCAATCAGAATTTTCGATTGAAAATCATCCAAAAATTTAACCAAAGTTTACTGTGCACAAGTCCTGCATACATTTTTCGATCAACTAACGATGAATCAATTGTCAAAATTTGACAAATTATACCCATTTTCTTCGTCTCGTTCATAGATTTCAAAAGCCCTTAAGCACTATTAAAGAGAATAACCATTTACTAAAAATAGTAGCAAAATAATATGGGAACATTAAATACATGCCTTATTTAGAAAGTTTTTAAATATATGCATTAATTGTTTTCATATACATGTTTTCAAATCAGATATGATCATAAAGATTATTTCTTAATTTATTTTATTCATCTGTAATAATATTATTGATATCTATTATAATAAACTACAATTAAATTTTCCGTGATTCATGTTGATAATATTTTGGTCAACATAAACATGAAAATAGACTTTAAGTCTTAACCATATTATTATTATTTTATATTTCACAAGTACTATTCATCCTAAAATATTTATAAACAATCGTAACATGTTAAGTAATTTTATCCTTCCAACTAATTAGGCGAAATCAAGTTGGTATATTAATATTCGCCGATAATATTTTTAACTTTTATTTAATTATATAAAAAATAAGTAATATTTTAAATTAAAATAATTTATCATTTAAGAGATAACAATAGATACATTAATAAAATTAAAATATATTAACTATTATTTAAAATTTCAATATGTGATTCATTTGTATATTATTGTCAACCATGATAATTTATTATCATTCTTTTTATTTTGATTTCTTTCCATAATGAATTAATTGTAAAATATAATTCCATTGCATATAAAAAAACTATAAAGCCGTATGATGCAAATTAGATAAACCTATTATACAAGGAATTTATTTTTCGGCAATTGCTAAATCAAATTTTTTCTTAGTATGAGAAAATTAAATTCTAAAAAACATGTGTGTATATTTTGTAAGCATTTATACAAAATATTTATTTTAAATTTATTTACATAAATTTAAATTAATTACATCAATAAGTAATATTAACGTACATTAAATATTTTTAATTACATAAATTAAGAAGAAAAGTAGACTACTTCTATAAATTTTATAAATAATAAAAATAAAATTATATGAAGATAAATTTTATAATAAAATAATAATTAAATATTATATGATGAATAAAATATGTAATACAGTTATTGTTTTTCTTGTATCAATGAATGAATATATAAAAAATATAAAATTGCCTCTTCGCCGATCCCCTTTCTCTCCCAGACAAACCCTCGCCTCTGCTCATCAAATCCTGTTCACCGTGCGCCTTCTCCGGCGATTAACCGGCCTTTTCGCCGGCGGATGGCCTATAGCTGCGTAATCCCGACCCAATTTCTCCCTCTCCAGTGCTTCTACGCCGATGGGGCTTCTCCTCCCAAGCCGTTGGCAAGTCTCGCCGTGTCCGTCTCGCCGGTGGTGGTTCTGTCTGCGGATTCTTCGAGTCGTGGCTATGGTGGCTGGCTGTCGGTTGGCTCCCTTTCTGCTCAGTCCCCGGTGAGAGCTTGTCTGCTGGGCGCTTGGTTCATGGTGGGTTGTTTCAAGAAGGTGAGTGAGTGTGGTTGGGGTTGGGTGCGACCCATGTGGCTTGGCTCGTCTGTGACGCGTCGGCTGAGGTTGAGGTGGGTTGATTTGAGCCCCTGGGTCCTCTCTGCCGGAGTTGTGGAGTTGGACGCCCGACTAGCCCGGATTTTGACCAAGTGGTGTTTGGTTGGGTCTCGGGAAGCGGGTCAGTGAAGGGGGGCTGATTGATCCTCTTTGGGTTGTGGGTCGCCTTCATCCTTGGAGTGTTTCAAGGCTTGGGACTCGTCCTTGCTAGGCATTAGGCAGTGGCGGGAGTGGTGTTACAGCTTTCAGGTCAAGCTATTGGGTGATTGGTCATGATTTCGCCGGCTGGGTATGGTTATCCCGGGGAAGGGCTTTGTGTGTTTTTGATTAGGTATTATTTTAGGATTGTTCTTCTGTGTTTGTGTTTTTGTGTAGTTTAGGATTGAGGTTTCGGTATGGGCCGTTTGGCCTCTGTGAACCCGAGTGTCACCTTATTATCTCATTGGGATGCGACACTCGGGTATTACTCTGTTGAGGTCTGTTTAGTTGTTGTTAGTTGTTTTAGTTTGTTTTAGTTGGTTAGTTTTAGTTGCGAACTTTATTCTAGCGTTGATAGTCGGGACTCTAGGCGGTTTTCTGACCTGTCCTCCCATTTTTTTAACTGTTGGCTACTGTGTATTCAGTCGTTGACTGCTATGTATTTGCACATTTGTGCATTTTGATTTATAATATAATCTATCGTTTTGAAAAAAAAAATGAATAAATATATATTCTAAAACTAAATTTATATTAGTATAATGTGTTAACGGAATAATATATTAATTAACATGTTAATATTATGACTAAAATATTCATGGTTGATTAAAAAATGTGAAAAATAGATGATTAGACCTTATTAATTTTTGTACTTACATGAAAATGACTAATTTAATATATATATATCTCTTATATGGCACACAGTCATTGCACGGGGTTATGTACTAATTATTTATCCGCCGTAGTTCCTCTTTCGTTCGTCCCTCTTATTTTTGTGGTCAAAGAATCCCAAATTCCCAGTATCAAAACGAAGGTTGTGCACCCAAATCCCAGTCGATGAGTTGATAAATTCCATTTTTATTCTCAAATACGTCATGATAATATTGATTATTAGAGTTTTGATCTTAGTTATAATCATCTAATTGATTGCAGATTTCGAGTTTGTTGCATCTAGGGTTCCGATATGACGACTGCAGCTAGACCTACCTGGGCGCCGGCGAAAGGTGGGAACGAACAAGGTGGAACTCGAATATTCGGTCCATCTCAAAAGTATTCTTCCAGGGATATCGCGTCACACACCACCTTAAAGCCCAGGTCTTTTTATGGCGCTTTGTTGAATTTTTCTTCTACGTTAACCCTCGAATTCTCATTTAACGTTTGTTAGATTCGTTGTTGTTTTTAACGGATTGTATTCATAGTTTTTTGTGCTAGCTGTTTACCTATTAGTCTTAAAACTTCACACTAGGTACGTTACAGTTCTTAAGCTGCCGGTTTTCTTTTCAGAAAAAAATATGTTAATCGAATATGTAAATGAAGATTAAAATTGGTACTGCAAATGCATCGACTGTTTTATTTTGGCGGTTTTGTCATAATTGCCATATAGAAGTATGGATTTTTTTTTTTTCTTTTTCTATTCAGTCACAACACCACCATGTGTTTTTCTTGATCTTATCCTCATTGTTTACCTCTGTTTTCATGGTAAAGTAAGTGTATTTTTATCTTGATGTCTCAGGAAGGAAGGCCAAGATACCCAAGATGAGCTGCAGAAGAGGAATCTCAGGGACGAATTGGAAGACAGGGAGAGGAGGCATTTTTCTTCAAAAGGTATGTGTTCTATGAAATTAGTAAGCTTTGTACATTCTCCCTCCCCCAACACCCACATAGTTTCTTGTTCAAGAGCTCTTTGATTGATTTGGGGTTCATAACGAGTTGCAGAGGACAGAGAACGTCGGAAGGGAGGCCATCTTCTTTTAGAAGGTAAATCAATGGTGTCTCTTTATTCATGTTTTTTAAATGTGGTAGCAGAAGAATTTTCTTTATCCACAGGTTCAAAGTGGTATTAAGTATGAATCTCGCTTTCTGTAGGACCTAGGAGGGAAGTCGAAGACCGTATTGTTCCAAGAAGTGTAGATGCTGATGATGCTGATGTGGATGCTCAGACTGACGACAGGTTTGTGATTATTCTGGCTTGTGATTTATATTTTAGTGCTCTTCAGATATGCTGGTGGCATGCTGTCTCTTTTAAGTCTGATATGTGCTTTTCTGTTCAACTCTCCGGTGTTATTTGCCTCTTGGTTCTCTCTTTGTGGTTTGGTTGACTCATTTGCTTTAATTATGTATCATCAGTGATGACGATGAAGACGATGATGGGGATGATGAAGAAGCACTTTTAGCTGAGCTTGAGCGATTAAGGAAAGAGAAAGCCGAGCAGAAAGAACGAGAGGTGAGTTTTGCATCGCCTTGTTTCTGGTATTGAACAATCAAGCATGCTGAATTTTTTTAAAAATTATTGATTTATCTGAAAATTCATTGGTGGAGGAGGTATAGGACAAGAGTTCGCCAGCAGTATATTGTTTTTAGCTATATCTGTCTCATGGTAAACTTGATTTGGAAGAGTTGTTCAAAAAAAATAATTAGGAGTTTTTGGCTGGCTATTTTGGGATCAAAATTCAAATAGTTCCAGCAATAACCTTATTTCTCTGCTAAAAAAAAGCCATAAAATAATGCTGTACAAAGCCAAATTTTAGGAACCTCTTTTATTGGCATGAATCTGAATCTCTCAGTGATTTATATTTTCTGTTGATCTGGTACACGTGCTCATGTGTGATATGAAAATGTGTGGGTAAATCTATTGTAGTTACCCTTCCCCACAAATATTGAGGTGTAATAAATTTAAAAATGCACTTGTCAGCCTCTCTTCTTAACTTAGCACACATACTGAAGAACGGTGGTGGAAGTGCCTAAGGTTAATATTGTCCTAGAAGTAGATTACGGAACCCCTTTTTTTTTTTTTTTTTTTTTTTTTCTCTCTCTTTCCTGATTGCATTAGCCTACTGCAAAATTGAAGAAGACTCCATATGGATCTGCACCCGTGCATGTGTGGCTTAGATATGTGTCTGTGCAGCTGTCTTGCAAGACCAAACAGGCATATGATGCTTATTTGTCAATGATATGTGGTCCTACCTGTGCATGTGAGAATCTAGGTAGACTTTTTATTGCAAACTGTAATACAACATAGAAGTGTCAATTTATTATCTTATCTTGCTAGGAGCGGCAAAGGCAAGAAGAGGAGCTCAAAGCTAAGGAAGAACAATTGCTGCTTGGAAATCCCCTTCTAAATAACCCAACTTCCTTCAGTGTGAAGAGAAGGTAAATGTGATGCATCATTGTTGTTTGTGCTATTTTGGTTAGGGGTGAGCAAAATCGAGCCGAAACCGAAAATCCGACGCTTCCTTTTTCATTTCCTTTTTTTTTTTTTTTNTCTTCCAGGTGGGATGATGATGTGGTCTTTAAGAACCAAGCTCGTGGGGAGGCGAAAACACCCAAGAGGTTTATCAACGACACAATCAGAAATGATTTCCATCGGAAATTTCTGCAGAAGTACATGAAATAAATATTCAGTGACCATGTTTATGAATCTACCGTGTGATTGCAAACAAATATGCTACGACAAACTCTGTTTGGGTCCGAGTGTTCGACATTCTCGTTTTATCCATTACTGCGTTTTTTTCTTTTCCTGATTGGAAATTTCCTTGAAGATCATTGTGTAAAAGTTTGTGACAAATGTATTCGGTTCATGGTTATGCATATTATCAAAATAGTAATAGTAATTAACAGGGTCGTCTCCAGAAATTTACATGCTTACTAAATGATATGAATGAGTACATGGTTATGAATCAAATAATACATTTGAATGAGTACAATTCAAATGGATGAGACAAGGCCAATTTACATGCTTACTGAATGATATGGAAATTATTGCACATATACGAATCAAATAAAACATTTAGCACTAATACTAAATCTGTAGTAAATTATTAGAAACATGCATAAAAATCTGTTTTCATTAAAAATCGACTCTTCCTACAAACATGCATAAAATCAGTTTACCAAATAAACTCGATTCTCTTCCTTAATTTTCCTTAATTTTCGTAACTGATGTCATTAACACTAAAAGAATAATACTGAATCCTTAATTTTCCTTGATTTTCGTAACTGATGTCATTAACACTAAAAGAATAATACGAGATCGGACCAACTGTAAGTTTCAAGCTCGTGTCCGCCATCAATGGCGGACTTAACTTAAAAGCCAAAGATTTCGATTGAAAAAAAAAAAAAGATATCAATTGGTGTTTTGACCAACTTTACGACGTTTCCGAATGGATGCACTGGGTCTTGGAAGCCTCGATTGGTCGGAAGTTAGGGAGGTCGATGGGTGACTACGAGGTTGTGAACCATATTTGGGGATTGAGGGTTCAATTATGAAAATTGGACAAGGTCTGGGAACTTGATCATAATTTCAATTTCAAGTTGGGCCGAGCTTTTACAGCATACCAAATCAATATCCCCCAGCCACAGGTAAGGTTATCTCTTTTCAATCCTTGTTCCCAGCCGCCGTCACAACTGCCTTCTCTGATGCTTAAAACAGCCACAACAGGTAATCTCCTCTCTCCCCATCGTTCATAACTTTCAACGAAACTACTAATCATTAAAAAAATAAAATTACGTGCACTTGACTGGTGAGTATATAAAAAGAAATAAACAAGTAGGTAAATCATACATAACCAACAACTGCATTGAAGAAATAGTGATTAACCAACCCATCGTCGTACAAATTCAAATTCTACAATATGAATCCACATAGCATCAAAACAACCATCATCATCCAATAAAAGAGTATATATGCCTACAATTACACTAAACCACGAAAACCGTATTTACATCGACACAGAATACCACTACAATTTACTTTCATTCTCTTTGTAAGTAAGTCACAGGACAGGGCAACCCTTAACCGTGACCCCAGGGTCAGTAGGACACGTGGCCAGAGGGCAGTGGTCGTCAGCCATGAGGCCCCACCAATCAGGTCCCCAGATATCCCTCGACTGCAAGGTCAAGAAGAGAAGCACAGCCATGAAAGCAATCCCAGCATTGAGAGCCGCAGACATGACATACGCGTAGCGGCCCCACCACTGCCTGTACACCCTGTACACGTAGATGTTGAAAAAGATGCCGGTGGCCCCCCACATTATGTAGTTGACGGCCCTGACAGGTGGCATGCTGGCAGTGGCGCTCATAATGAGCGGCACGTTGATGAGTTGGATCCATTTCTTGTTCAGGTACTTGCGGCCCATTAGGTAGACTGGGATTGGTGCCAATAGGCCCACTAGAAACCACCAGTTCATGGAGCTGTACACTCCGTAGCTAGTGAACATCCGTAAAGGACCAATCACTCCCCATATAATGGACGCATTGTAGAAAACCTCATCACCTGGGCATGTCCACGGGCTTCCGTCGGGCAATAGTGACGTGTCGCAAATGTTCTCCACGCTCGAGAGAAGCCACCATGATGTGCTGAAGTAGATGCTCGATGCAACTATGGTACCCACCAACTGGACACCCAATCCAAAGAGTGTTTGATTAGTTATTTATTAAGGATCGTTAAATGAAAAAAATGTGGCTCAAAAGTAGTTGAAGTTTGCGGACCTGGACAATGAACATGGACTTGGGAGGGATCTTCATGTAGTGACCCAATTTGAAATCGCTCACGAAGCCGAGCGCTTGTACCATGCTTATGTATCCGTAAGTCTTGAAAGTAACATTTGCAAGGGGTCTTCCCGGGTAAATGTAACCGATAACCATCTCGGTTATGATGTTTAGTCCAATTTGCTGCAAAAGGATTGAGTTTCGTAATCATAGGTTCAATAGGACCGATAAAATTTATCTACAGTATTGCACACTTCGGCTGTACCTTATTCGTGGTGGCCTGAATAATGCCGATTGGTAGGGTAAAGAACAAAGCCATGGCGCAAGCCATGATAAGGCCCCACCAGGGGAGTTGGAGCTGTTTGCCAAAACCTTCGCAATCCCATAGAGAGAGACAAAACACAACCCCGAGAATGGAGTAAAACCACCAATTTGGCACAGCATCATAGTTTTTCTTCATTAATCTCCCAATGTATATCCATTTTTTCATGGTTATTGCCCACTGTTTTACTCCACAAATCCCAAATACTCCTGTCTCACGTATTTTGTTTTTGAAAAACGAAAAAAANAAAGAAACTAAAATCTTGGCAAAAAGAACAAAATCAAAGTTGCATTTCCTTACTCAGGTGAGGATTGAGAATACTGTTCTAAAAATTACTAGGTATTTACTCAGAAATTTGTAGCTTTACGTGTAACCAGATGCATAAAATCAATTTTTTACCGAATAAACAAATCACTTACTTCCCATGATGAAGAGCGACGTAACTAATAGTCGACGTGAGGGCAGAAAATCCAATCCCATAAGTGAAAGCAAAGAAACTGCTAATGTACAGCTTGCTGTAACCCTCGTATCCAGGCATGTCGAGACTGAAGGTGGCCTCATTCAGAACACGCGAGATGTTGTAAGAGTGGCCGGTCACATCAAATGTCTTTGTAGAGAAGATTGGGAACCTCTTGGCATGGTACAAGTTGCTGAAATAAACCAACGGGGTCATGATGTACATTACGAAGAAGAAGCCAACAAGGCTATTGATGATGGCGAATCCTGGGGTGGAAATAGGATTGCCGAAGAAGTTGACTGTGGCCCAGTCAAGAGCAAAAGAGCCGATTCCCATGCCATGCATGCCTGACCCGATTTGTTGTGGGAATATCTTGTCCTTGAAGATCAAGCAGAGGATGGAGATGGAGGATAGTGAGGGGGCAAAGAAGCCAGGGATAATGTAGTATGCAAAGCTTGATACGAACATCACTAGGAAAAATTGGAGGCGTGTTAGGCTTCCTTTCGTCCTCTCTTCTTTATCATGCAATGCCCTGCCGAAAAAAACAAAACAAGTATTTCGGCTTTACACAACAAAACACTTAAACAACACAATAACTGAATTACAAAGATCTAAAAACATACAGAGCATTTGAATATTTTCCTTTTATAGTCCATGATTGTTGCTGGTTCCATTTGTTTTTTAATTTTATCTATTTATTTACTGTGTTCAAGAATGGTAGCCAGAGGCAAACCTGAAGAGGGACACTGCAACCATGTTTTCAGGCCACCACATATAGGGGTAGTCAACAAGGATATTCCTAAATATGCCAGCCTACCCATAACCAAGCAACTGAATCAAGTGGGAAACAATAGATGCATAAGAAATCAGAAAACATTGCAAAATTGTTCCATAGGTTTAAGAGTTAAAAGCTTCAGTGATGCTGAGGTGATGCCAATTGAAGTTTCTATAGTTTCAAATATTTTCTAATTTTAGTTCTGTAAGTAGAAAAGACTAATAACAAAGCTATTCAATTTGATCCTACAAATTCTTATTAGGGATCTTCGAAAATATAAAAAAACTCCGATAAAAGCATTTTACCTGTGTGGTTTGAGCCAACAACCAAGCGGCCAGAGGATGTAGCTGCCCGTGATAGAAAGCCCTAACGATGGTGACGATGGAGATGGCGTAAACCCCCGACGAGCCACAGCTGGCGAAGATGGTGATGAGGACGTGCTCCTTGAGGTTGAACGGGCCCGGGTTGAGAGAGAACGACCATCCCGTGAAAGGCACCGTGAGGGTGGTTGCCGGAAGGACCCTCGCCAGCAGCCTCCCCAGCGGCAGGCTGACCAGCTGCACCACCACGGCGGAGACCGTTAGGCTGTTCTGCCGATAGCTGAAGAACTGATTGATGAAAGCGAGCATCACGCACGAGGTGAGGCCGAGCATCCATGTCCGGAAGGTCAACACCGGCTGTGACGGGTCGTCTTCCGGCGATACAGTCAGCCGGACCTCATCGATCGGGCAGTCGTTCTCGTCGTCAGAGCCTGTATATGTGGCCCGTTTTATTTTAATACATTGCTACTAGTACAACACCCAATATTACATAGGTGGGGACAGTGCCTCATCCCGAACCGTTCATAATTGATTCATAAAAATGGGATCAGTATCTGGACAAATCAAATTCAGGACCGTGCCCCTATAATAAATAATCAACATATTTATAGATAATCCGAATCTAATAATGAAGCATGTAATTTTACCACATAGGATTCCGAAGCATGCGAACCTGCCACATAGGCTTGCGCGTTCTGAATTAATATATAAGGGGGATTATAGATAATCCGAACCTAATAACGAAGCATGTAATTTTATCACATAAGATTCCGAAGCATGCGAACTGCCACATAGGCTCAGCGCATTCTGAATTAATAAATAAGGGGGATATCACGCCCAAAATTGTATTTTTTGAAAATTTTTGTAAACTACATAATTTAAAATAAAACCATAAATAAATTATTCACAAACGAAACCACAAACTAAAAACCAATGCCTTTTATAATAAAAAATAAATAAATTATAAACCAATTATTTATAAATAATAAAAATTAATATTTATATATTTATAATTAAAAATAAAAAAATTATAAATAAATGTAATTTTGTAGGTGAACATCGTAATTTTTCCATTATAGCCTAAATTTAAAAAATAAATAAATGTATATATATATATATATATATTTATTTTCAATTATATATATACATTTAAAAAANTTTGACCTTAAATTTTATTTTTTAACTTTTTACTTAGTCCGATACTTTAGCAAATCAAATAAGGTACACTAATTATTAGTTGCAGGATAAATGCCAAATCATCACTAGCTGGATGTGGGCTAATTAAATTTGTGAATCAATTAAAAATATATAGTTAGATAAAAATAAAAGGTAAGAAATAAAATAGTATACAACAATAAAATATTTTTTATTTACATAAGTTGAACGTAGTATAAATAATTAAATTTTAAAATTTATTTATTAAATAATCTGAAAATACTATTACATATATTTCATAATATCCAATATTATAGGTTTAATATCTTATTTTTATGGTTAAGACAAAAATATTGATAAATAATACCAAAATCGATCAACATACGTAGACATGGCCACGGGTTGGCCCGACCCGTGGCCCGACCCGTGAACCGACCAGAACCGGTCCCGGACCGGTCCGGAACCGGCCCGCCCTAGCCGGTTAACCGGCCCGTAATCCCTTAAGGGCCGGTTACGGGTCATGCGGAACACATTTTTGACCCGCCGGGCCGGGCCGGTTCCGGATTTTCCGACGGGCTACAGTAATCAATTTTTTTTTTTTTTTAATTTTTTTAACCGGCGGTTCACTGAACCGCCGGGCCGGGCCGGTTCAGTGAACCGGCCCTTAGATATAAGCGGGCCGGTCACGGGCCTAGGTTTTGAGACCCGCCGACCCGGCGGGCCGGGCCGGGCCGGGTCATAAACCGTTGACTGGCCACCCCTAAACATACGTTTAAAAAGTTTACTAGAATTTGATCAATGTTACCATTGAATAATTTATAGCAAAATTGATCAAATATTAATAACTTTGATCTTAATCAAACACTCTCTATATATAATCAGAAGAAGTTGCAACCATTTTATTTTATCGTACTTATCCACCAAAAAAAACTAGCGAAGATGAATTATATGATAAATAACGACCAAATTATGAAACTTTCAATGTATTTTTTGTATTTTAAGTTATACGTACGGATATTAAAAAAATGCGTTTTGTTATTTTTTTTTTCTATTTATTACTAATTAATTACATAGGTTTGTTTAGACATCAATGTCTTTCATTTAGTTTAATTTTTATGNTTTTTTTTTTTTTTTTTCCAACGATAATTAGATTTCATATAACCTCAAAAGAAATTTACAATCGGCAACACAGGGGATATGATCATCTACCCCTTCAACACTACATCAATCAGACAAACATCAGCTAACCATCAAAACCAAAATCCAAAGAAGAGAATGAGTCCATAAAAATTTACAGTTTTGTCACCCAATGTTTAAACTTACAGTATTGGAGATCTTATATTAATTTTTAAACAACCCCATACAACATGAATACTTTATTTGCTCTACAAAAATGCATGTAAAATAGCAAGTCATCAAATTTTGAAGGTACATAAAAATGCAGCAATTTTGAGAACCTACGAATACATATAAATTATTACGAAAAAAAAAATAGATATAGTTACCAGTTATTTCGAGATTACTGTGATGCTTCTTCTTCTCCGAGACGTCCTCGTCGGCAGCAAAGACTGGACCGCCATTGATGACGGCCATTGAAATGTCAGCACCGACCAACAGGACTTACCAAGTAATATAAATTTTCTGACTCCCTAAGGGAAAATTGGCAAATGTGTGTGTTCTATTATATTGTGAGCATTTTTCGCATCTATTTTATTTTGGTTTTAAGATGTCTCCGTTTGTGGTAATAATATTAAGGAGCCAACTGTTGGCTTCGTTATGAAGCCAACAACCAATTAGACAGTTCTATGTGGGGCTGTCCCACATTGGAGCCATGTGAGACAGCCCCACATGGAGCTGTCCCATTGGCTGTTGACTCCTTAGTATTACTGCCGTTTGTGGAGGAATGCCTATGGCCCTTACTTACCACTCTCCTAAAGAAGGTAAATTGATATTTGTAGCTATATTCATTCTATCTCAATGGTAAGTTTGATATGTAAATATGTATAGTATCTGAATCACAGACAAATATTCAGAAGAACTTTTCTGTATTTCGATACAATGAATGTAATGTGTGTTGTCTCTGTGGTTTGTGAATATAAAAAAGACGGCTTAAGGAGGATGAAGAAAACGAAACAAAAATCAAAGTCGAACCACGTAATAATTACGTTCTCCTTAAGACAAAATTGCCCTGTAAAATACTCACGGTTAACGGCAAACGCCTCCAAGATACAATGACTTTAGACTTGTATAAAGCTGTACTTCAAATATACAAGCCTTCTGCGAACACTACTATTGTTTGAAACTCTCAAGACTCAAAGAAAAAATCAAAGAATACAATATGCATGCTTTATGAACTTTGAAAATATAATGCAAGAGCTCTTCACTTTTTAAATTAAGAATGATTTCATTTATGTGGGTATTTATAGATGTAGAAGAACATCTCCAAGAGGTTTAAGTGTCAAAAGACACCTTTTGGGACATATCCGAACGAGAACGGATGCATCTATAGGCCAAAAGACACCTTATAGTCACCAAGGGTTGCGACCTTTTGGTGTCCGCAGCCAGCTGCGCGCCAGTACTCCGCGCGCTCGTACGAGCTCATACGGACTCAGAATCGAGTTCTGTTTTTTCCTACTTATCTCCAACCAACCCCTCTAGAGTTCTAGCATGCAATTTTCATGATCAGGTCTTGTTTGGATTGTCCTAACACTTGTCAAAGATAGAATATTTTACGAATCCAATAATTTGAGTTACTTAAACTCATTGCTTCAATCTTACATGTCCCACATATACAACTTAGAATTAATTTCTCATTTACCTTAAAAATGGTTTTGAGAATTTTCTAAGTCTTTCACTTACAAAAAATGGAACTGTAAAATCGGTACAAAACCAATTTATCTTACAGTATGTTTAGAGCATCTCCCATGGCATTTGATATATTATATTATCTATTCAAAATTTCTCTCCTTTCCAACAAATTATAGGTTTACACATGTCAAATTGAACCATCTTTAATATTAACCATTGGACACCCATTTTCTTAATCTCATTTCTTCATGTCATGCAAAGAAAATGAACAATATGCCATTGGAGATGCTCTTATAATTGTGTTCCTGGTTAAGATTCTTATTCATGCATTGCCAACATATATATGTGATAAGTCGTATTATTGATATATTAATTGTCAAATTTTCCATACTTTTTCGGTGTGTGTTTGAGTTTAATTATTGATTTTAAGTTATTTTTATATTTTTTGTAGGAGATCTTGGAATTTGTGATTTTATGGTGATTGGAGGGCGAAAGAGACGAATTTCAGCTAAGGCGTGGGCACGCCAATTTCCTACAAGAATTGGAAGATGATACTATATATAGAAATCTCGAAAACACACCGAAACATATGGTTTCAATTAGTTTATTCAAAACAAAATACATTCGACCGTTGTCATAATATTAATATCGCACTTATGGAACAATAATATCGCAGTTTGTTATGGAACACATGTTCATATTGCAGTTACGAGAGATTAATATCACGCGAGGGATAACTATGATCAACAAAATATATTAATAATTAATATATTAATTAATATTGCAGTTATGGAACAATAATATCGGAGTTTGTTATGGAATGATAATCTATAACTAGAGATTAACATCACACGGTGGATAACTTTGATCAACCAAATATATTAATAATATGTTATAAAAATACGTGTTCATTATTCGGCTAAAGTATATCAAATTTTGAATTTATTCAAACTCATATTTTTAATTAATCTCTCAAATAGTATTTTAATCGCTTATTAATTGTTTTCAACAACATTTTGAAACATGTGGTAATCAAACAACATTTTAATCACTTATTTAATCAAACAACATTTTAAAACACGTGTTCATTATTTGGTTAAATTAAATAAAAAAATTAATGTTATATAGAGATTATTGGAACAATAATATGTGACGATAGAGAGATTAACATCATAGTTTGAATCTATTCAAACTCATCTTTTGAATTAATAATTATCAGACATTATTTTATCATCAAATCACAATTTGAATTTAATGTTATTCATTTAAAAAACATAATAAATACTGTGATATAATAATCTGTTATATTGTGAACAACTTTGATAAATAAATATTATAATAATTAATATATTAATCTGTTATAAATCGCACGGCACTATACTAACTATTTACTAATATAATAATACTATAAGTAAGTCAGATGCTATACAGAAATTAATAATACAATCTTTATACACGAAAAAAAATCTAAACAACTAAACCAATTAATTTTTGTACACGACAAAGACATTTGAAAAACGTAAAAAATATTGCAAGTGTCTTTAATCTTTGTACACGACAAAATATCTCCACTTATTCAAACTCAACAACATTTAAAACACGTGTTCATTATATGTTACGAGAGAGATTAAAGTGAACGTCCAACTAATCTTATCATCATATCAGAGTTTGAATTTATTCAAACTCATAATTTAAATTCATCTAATGGTTATCAACTTTTATCACATGACTATAAAATAAACGTCCGAACGTAGATCACGTATCACAAAAATCTCACACTCCCATTTGACATAGCAGAAAAATGGCTAAAGCATGGGAAAATATCAAGCAAGTAACAAGGACCAACATGCCAATGCTCAAGTTAAGAGTGGTTCGAGTTTTTCAAAGGACTAATGAATACTCATCCTACAAGAATATCCTTGAAATATGTCCTTTCATGACATTGAGGTATAATTCACAATCAAAGTTAATGATTAATTCTTTCTCCCAATATTACACCATAATTTCTAACATTATCTTTTTTTTCTTTCTTCTCATATTACACCATAATATCTAATATTATCTTTTTTGTTTTTTTTCAGGGCGGTCAAATTACAGGAATAGTAAGAGCAGTAAACATCCCAACTTTCATCAATGAATTCGAATAAGGTGTTGTCTATGCATTTCGAAACTATCAGGTTGAGAGTAATATTGAAACTATCCCAACTTTTGATAATTCGTGCTTCTCTAATAATATGGGATGAAGCACCAATTATGCACAAGCATTGTTTTGAAACTGTACAAACATCGCTACAGTGTATTATGGGAGCAATTGATCCTTTGAACTTGAACAAACCGTTTGGTGGGAAGCCGATTGTTTTTGGTGGAGATTTTCGACAAATCCTTCATGTCATTCCAAAGGGTAGCCGTCAGGACATAGTCAATACTGCCATTAATGCTTCTGACATATAGAGGAGTTGTACTGTGCTTAGGCTTACGAAAAACATGCGTATTTAGGGACTTGCTAATTCGGATGAATGTGATGTGCACCTATAGACATACCCGAGGACATTTTGTTTCAACCATTTGATGATCCTATTGCTCAAATCGTTGAAAGCACATATCCAATGTATAAAGAGGCACCCGACGATCCAAGTTATTTGAAGGATAGGGATATATTAGCGTCGACGTTGGATGTGGTCGAGTCTATCAATGAGTACATGACATCATTGAATTTGTTGGATGGTCGTATGTACTTGAGCTCTGACAGTATGTGCAAATCGGATTCTAATAATGATTTTTTGTCTAATCTCCATACGCCGGAGTTTTTGAATAGTATCAAGTGTTCCGGAATACCGAACCATGAGTTGTATTTGAAGATTGGAACTCCAGTCATGTTGTTGCGTAACATGGATCATTCTATGGGTTAGTATAGGACACGATTGGTTGTGACAAAGCTATCCACTCACGTTCTTGAGTGTAAGATACTCACAGGAGATCATGCTGGTGATAAGGTGTTGATTCCAAGAATGACCATAACTCATTTTGATATTAGAATTCCTTTCAAGTTCCAGTGGCGACAGTTTCCTATTATGGGTTCTTACACCATGACTATAAACAAGAGTCAGGGACAATCTTTATCTCATGTTGACTTATTTCTTAAGAAACCAGTGTTCAGTCATGGGCCAATTATATGTTGCTGTTTCCCGTGTCACTAACCGAAAAGGTTTGATAGTGTTAATTTGTGGTGAAGATGACGTGCTAAAGAATCAAACCAATAATGTTGTATGTAGGGAAGTGTTCAATAATATATGATCTTTTCAGTTTAACTATATGTTTATTCTTATGATCATGATCATTGCATTATTACACAATTTATATACAAAATTGTCTTCTAAAAAACATATAGATAATAATATCCCCGTGCATCGCACGGGTGATTACTAGTTCTTAAATAATGAAAATCTTGTTGACAAATTAAAATGGTCTTGTTTTGCATGTGTAAACTTGACTTGTTTATTATTTAATTTTCTTCAATTCAGTTAAGAAGCATAAACGAGTTTAAAATTCAATTCTTAAATTTTGATAGTGGATTGTTAAAAATAATTTGCAGCTTATTTGATTACTTTTTATTTATATCACTTTATTTTATACTAGTATGAATCCCGTGCGGTGCACGGGTAAGAAATATTAATTAATATTTATAAATTAAATATGCTCATTATATAATATTTATAAAGTTAAAATATGAAATATACATGTAATGCATTTTACCTATAAAATTTAATTGTGCAAATTTACATAAA